TTCTCACTTGTGATTTTGTAAGAGTATGCCTATAAGTCTTTTAATTGTTTAACAAATATACCACAACTCATCCATCTACATGAGTATTGGAGCCTTCAAAGTAGTCACTCTGTGGAGTTAGGAACTTATTCCTATAATGCTACCTTTGCTCTAAATTCTTTGGAAATTGCTTTCAAGAATACAGTCTTTGGAAGAACCTCACGGGTGGCCAACCTGCACTCTTGGAGAGTGTTTGTGATTTTTGGAAAATAAAGTCCTTTTATGAATTATAGAACACCAAATGTTGGACCTTTGAGGAAAGGTAGCCATCATCTGGTCCAGGGGTGGGGAACCTGCGGCCTTGAGGCCATATGTGGCCTTCTAGGTCTTCAAATGAGGCCCTTTGACTGAATCCAAACTTGACTTGAGGACCTAGAGGGCCACATGTGGCCTCCAGGTCTCAGGTTCCCCATCCCTGATCTGGTCCAATCCCCTCATTGTATATAACAGGAAACTGAGGTAGAGTCAAGTCTGGTGAACAAAGTGGGTGACCAAACTGCAGAATACCATTTTTAGTCAAAACTGAGGCATAATTCTAAAGCAATGAAGCAGATTTCCTTGTGAGGTCCCATCTCCCACTAACCTCCTTTATGAATCCTATAATCCAGATACACTAGACTACTACTATTTAGATGTGCTCTAATGTTTCTTTCTTTTGCCTGCAATACCCATCCCCCCAGCACAGGCTCTGCCTGTTGAAATCCCATCCAGCCTTCAAGGCTCTGTTCAAAAAGCCTACCTTTTTCATCAAGCTTTCCCAGCTAGAAGTGATGCTCTCTTCCCTACTGGTTTTGGAGTTAGAAAACTATGTTTTAAATACCAGCATTTCTAATTATAACATGTAAAACTTTGGACAAGTCATTTAACTTCTTTGGGCCTCAGTTTCCTCATTTGTTAAATGTTGGACTAAATGAACTCAAAAAGGTCAATTTTAGCTCCAAATCCTATGATGCCCCCTGGCACCTCAGAATTTTACAAGGTGTCATTTATCAGTCTTTGCCTTTATTACAGTTATATGTCTTCCATTTTGTGCCCCACATTGGACTGATAATATGTCTTATTCATCTGTCTCCCCCACAGCTCTTAGCGCAGGGCCAGGCACCCAAGAGTGAATGATGAATGAATGAATGGAGTAGGACCAGTGTGAGTTATCCATCACTTTCTTTTAACATGGGTGCCCAGTGACTGCTTATCACATGATCTGTGTTGTTCTCTACTTCCTGGAAACATCCTTAGCAATCATCTCAGCCAAGCCCAAGCTCCTAATTAAGAAGGGACCTGGATATTGTGGCCCAGAGAAGGGAAAATGAATATGAGCTCGGGGACAAGCAAAGCTAGGGACTCCCAGGCCTACTGGAAATAGTACTGCACATTAAGCCAAGGAAATTTGGTTCAAATCTCACCTCTAATGTCTAGACATGTGAGACCATGGGCAGATCACTTAGCCTCCCTAGGCATCAGTTTCCTTATCTGTAAATAAGAGGGTTGGAATAGATTACCTCTAAGGTTCCTTCTAGCTCTAAATCTGTGAGCCTATGGCCCTGGAAGAAGACCCCATTCTCCAACTGGCCAGAATTCCCCACCCCCGCTGCTTGCTTCTTTCTTCCAACTTTCTTCTAATTTCAGTAGTTCAGCTACTAGCTTCTCAGTCCTTCTCTGACAAAGTCTCAGTGTATAGGTCCCCCTCCCCACTTCTGACCATACCCTTGACCTTCCTTATAGCCCCACTAAGAGAAAGGGCTTTATCTTCTCTCCTAATGGCACATACTAGGCACTCTATAAATGTTTGCCGACTGACTGATAATTGACTCAAGCTTTTTTTTAAGAGCTCAAAAAGACCTTGGAGATTATCTAGTTCAGTGGTGCTTAACCTTTTTTTGTCATCTGAACCTTTCTAGCAGTCTGGGAAAGCCTATGGACTCCTTCTTAAAATATTTTAAATGCACAAAACAAAATCCATAAGATTACAAAGGAAACCAATTCTGTTGAAATAAATGTGAAAGTTTTTTCTTCTCATCCAAGTTCACAGACTTCTTCCCCGCCTTAAAAATCTATACACCAAGTCCAGGGGGTTCATAGAAGCCAGGTTAAGGACCTTTGACCAAATTCAACATTCTCATCCGCTAAGCCAACAGCTGCCCCTTGTATCTGGCCAGATGTGGGCAGGACAGATTTCACAGAAAAGATACCTATTAGTGTGGTTTTCAGGTAAGGCCAGGCTTTCCCCCAAAAATCTCTCCCACAGACTTATGCCAGGAGCCTAAACATTCTACCATTCCCATCTTCCCTTCTTAGGATTAAGGCACAGAAGGCCTCCTATAATATTTTCCTATGCTCCTTGGGGGGCAACGAAACAGCCAGGCATCACCATTTGATAGGTAATGGAGCTGAAGTCTAGAGAGGGCCCGTGATTTGTGCAAGTCCCTTTGGGACAGGTCCTCAGACTGCTCCTTCCCCAGGCCTCACCCTCAGAGCTTCACACCCCACTCCACCCCACCAGCTTGCCTAGCTCCCAGACCAGCAACAGTTTAGAAATGCCTCCTCCTAAAGTTGGGCCCCAGGCTTCTTCAGAGACCATCCAGCCCTAGAGAATTGCTAGATTGAGCAATGAAGGACACAGATTTAGCATTTCCTCTGCATAAAGTGCTGCCTTGACCCCAATTAAGGCATAGCATATAGAACAGGAAATCATTCTGGAAACTGAGATCTGGCCCTCAGCCTGACTCATCTTTTGCTCGTCTGGGCCCATTATGCACATGACCGTATTTCTATTGGAATCTCATGTCCGTGCTCACCCCACCCTGGTAGTAGGTGGGTGAATGCCTTGCAGATGACTTCCTTTTCCCCCTTTTCTTTTTCTTTTCCTATATGTAGCCCAGGCTCCGCTTTTGGAAGTACAAAGCAGGAAGGAGGGGTATAGGGACCTCTCTGCCAATGGGACAGGCAGAGCCAATAGAAGAAGCATGAAGTGGGTGAAGTTTGTCTTTAGTCTTCTCGGCCACAGCCTGCTCACTTCCTCTAATCAGGCATCCAGGGCCTTTCTGCTATCCCTAGTCACCTAAATGTTGGGTGCCCAGGCCCACCCCCAACCCCCCCCCCCACTCTCCAGAAAATCCCCTGGACCTTTTCCTCATCATCCAATCACAGAAAGACTTAGCTGACCTCTCATTCATCTCCTCAGGGTCTTACTGTCTGCCAGCCCAGCCAGGAAACTAATTCATGCTAAGAACAAGCCTGGATGTTTGTTTCCTTCCCAGGAAACATAGTTAATGACTTCTGGGGCCTCCCTTGCCTCAAGTCCAAGTTGTGAAGGTGGGAATTGTCAGAAAATTCAGGCCTGGGGCAGAGCATTGGGGAAAAGATATTTTTTGGAAAGAGTGGCCTTGCCTGAAATCCACACCAGTAGATATCCTCTTGAGGCCTATCCTGCGCACATCTGGCCAGTGGACAGAACACTTGAGTTTGAATCTGGAAGACTTTAGATACTTATTTTCTCAAATCTCTCCCCCAATCCAGTCCATCTTCCAGTCAGCTGCCAAAGTCATTTTCCTAGAGCATGTATCTGATCATATCATTTCCTGCTCTTTTGTGCACGCGCGAGCACACACACACACACACACATACACACACACCCACGGGTGTGCGTGCACGCACGTGCTCAATGAGCTGCAGTGGCTCCTTATTACCTGGAAGACCAAAAATAAAACCCTCTATTTGCATTTGAAGCCCTTCCCAACCTGGCCTCTATGTAAACCTTTCCAGTCTTTTCGTACTTTCTGACCCTCTGTGAACTCGCCAGCCTCCTTACTGTCCCTCACACACAGCCTCCATCTCCATCCACATTATGACATTTCATTGACTCATCTCTTTGCCTGAAATACCCCACCCCTGTCTTTTTTTTTTTTTTTTTTTTTTTTTTTTTTTTTTTTTTTTTTTTT